TTTACCGCTGTATCTGACTACTAGAATAGATGGGGCTTAAAAATTCATTTTCGGCACTTTTTGTTTGCCAATGTGCGATTTTCGAATCGAAGTAAAGGGTCCATATTCGCTGGCTGCTGGTGAAGTTGTGCTCCTAGACGCCCTCCCAAGGATACTGAAATTTGTCGCGCGTTCATCCTCATGTAGAAGCCGATGTCGTCGGTGACTTTTCCCTACTTCGTTTTAACAGCTATTTGAACGAATTTCTGACGGAATAGAACAACCTAGTCTGAGCTTATTTTTAGCGGAAAAGGCGGTCTGACACCAGAAAGTACATTTCACGGAGTTTTTAAATTTCATTTTCTTGCCCAAGGTTTTGTGTTTTTGGCCGAGTTGACAATTTTGACATTAATAGTAGGTGGTCTGCTGTCAGGAGCAGGGCATTTGGGAATTTTAAGAACTGCCACGCCTCAAATTTATGGTTTTCCACGAATTATATCATGGCTTTTACTGATTCTAGCCGAAGGTTCATCAAGCGGCTGCGAATACTTTCCATATCAGGAGACCCCGTGCTCTCCTCCACAGAGAGTGGCCGCACGAATTCATCACGGGACCAGCGGCGCGACCGTCTTCGAAACATTCCCAACACCTATAGTGTCTACGTCTGTCCCAGCTCTCCCCCTCGTGTTGCCAGATCGCACCAGAGCCCATCAGCGGAAAATCTCTGCTCACCCAGGCGTGGCGTGGGCAAGACTGTGGAAAAAAATTCGGACCCGTCTCCTGCTGGGCTAGACAAATCCTCGGGGACATTTATTAACCGAACTGCCAGTACTGCTAGCGGCTGGCGAAGCCGATCAAAATCGGGTAGGAGTGAATGCCTTTTGAAATCATAAATGCAGCACTTTTTGACTGCTGAGATTTATTCCGGGGTCTAGGATGTGTTTTCATTTATTTATCGTTGGCCAGTGAACAACCATCACTGACCGTGCCTGGATTCTAGAGTACTTTATTAAACGTCTCTTTCACCTACTTATCAAAGACTTTCCCAACACTTTTAATGAAGCAAATAGCACAGTCTATTGCAATATGAGGACTAAACGTGTCAGTTGTAAATATTAGTTTTTTAAGAGGCTTCTTTCTTCGACTGCCTGCAGAATTTTCCCATCATAAGTCAACTTGGACACCATTTCTTCGAGTTTTTCCTATCGATTTTAAATATTTCGGTACTGAATGTGAAATTCAATATAGTCTTGCTTTGCAGTAGTCCACCCAAGTGCCTAGGGCGCATTCATATCCTTTTCTTTCCTTCCGAAATGCCGTTCCTCCAATCAGAATTAGTGCGTGTAATATTGATTGTACTAAACATATTTGGGCAGTTGCAACTTGCGTATCCGATCGCTTTCCTTTTGGCACGTGTCTAGGCCACTAATTACGAAATAGTATGTGCGTATGCGCAGTTTTCACAGTTTTCGCACCATCTATTCAGAAGGAAAGGTTCATCAATAAGGGCTCAAGTGAACCGGGCTGTCCTCTGCATTACAAAGCATAATTTGAGTTGGGTAAACTGCAACATTGGCAAAAGGATGAACTGTTGCAAGCGTCAACTTCATGTATATCGTACTTTATACAGTCATCCGAATAACGGGACTGTCCATGCATCTTTTCGAGTCCATTTGGATGTAGTCATGTGGGGCCTTCTATGTTTTTACCGTGTGCCGTTGCGTAAAATTGGAATAATATCGGGCGCCGAAATTGATTCTCTTTTTGGGAGCTAGTTTCATCACTTGTAATTTATTAATGACGGGAAGTTTGGCTGACTACAGCTGACTCTGTTAAAAACAGCTGTGATGTTGGAGCGTCTGTTCAAACTTTATTCGGCCAGACCGTCCAAAAGGAGTGGTGACTTATGAAATGCCTTTTACAAAATCATGTTGTTCACGACATGCTCGTGTCTACTGGGGAGTTTTTCTATGTAGCACGAACAATGTTTGCTGTTGTAAGCCGTTAAAGTAGTCTCGCTCAGTTTACACTGATCTTGCACGTTGTTGCTGTCTGTTTGTGCAAATCAGTTGTGGAGTGGAGAGCTTTTGTGTGATTTCCTCACTAGGTAGGGCACTTTGAGGTGCTTTTAGCTGCCTTCACAGGCCCTCCACCTGAACTCGAGGCGAGGTTCCTTAGTCTGAGCTCTTCCAGAGATCTTGGACTTTTCAACCGGATAAATTTAAATAGTAACTAAAATGCCCCCCGGCTAGTCCCTGCAGAGGCTGTCTTGTTGGAACCACAAGACTGTGTTCTGGAGGTGAGATAATAGTCTCATCATCCACGATAGTCTGCGGCCGGGCTGTCATTTATGCGTTTGGACATTGTACTTCACGTTGGGTGCTTTATTTTCTGTAGCCGGTGAGGGAGCCCTTGGTGAGTGCGTCTCCGGCTGCGAGAGTGAACCGGTCAGCTCCTCCATTGTAAATCATGGCAAGCGGAGCGGTAGCAAGAAGTCTCGAAATCACACGAGCGGTCGCAGTCGACGATGGGGCAATAGCCAGGATCACCAGCATAGCCAAACTATGGATAGTTGGGACAGTGTACGAGTGGAAGACTTCATTGACGAGGACTTCGATTTTGAGGCCAATCTAGCTCTCTTCGACAAACAGGCTTTTTACGATGAAGCTGATGCTAAGTTGGCCGCTGACGGCAAACATCCGCCTCCTCGACCATGCTTCCCCGCGGATGATCAGGTTCTCGTGGAAGGTCCCAACGGCATCGGATTCGTACCCAGAAGTTGTAAGTTTGTCTGCCTTTTTTTCCTGCCTAGGTTCGTAGTCACATTCTCTTCTAGCCTGATAATTTTTTTGTAGTAGACCCTCTGCTCGAAGACACAACCTACGTACTCACAGTGCTGCAGTCAGGATAGATTAATAGATGCTATTCTCATATGACTGTGTAATCTCTATCTCAGTTGGCACGATACAGTCATTTTAGCTTTGCTTAATGATAAACCTTCCCAAGTCTTGCATTTCGGGCTGGCACCCTGCAGATGAGGTATTGTTGGCTGATGATTTCCAAGAAGCCAGAAATGGCCATCCAAGTATCATTGTCTTTGTTAATAAAACTTATCGAATATGCTGCGTTGGTAATTGACGTTCGAACATACAGTAGATGCACTATCTCATGAAATCCAACGATTTTTACAAGCAACTCCCTCTTACTCAAACGCAGCCCAAGCTGTGGCC